CACAGTTCAGTTCTTATTCAGGGCATATGCCTGGGTTGCGGGCTCAATCCCTAGTACGGGTTGTGCAGGAGGCAGCTAATCAATGGTTCTCTCTCATCATTAATGTTTCCATCTCTTGCTCCTTCTCCCTTTTTCTCTGAAGTAAATAAATATATATATATTTTAAAAATAAAGAATGTGACCTAAGGAAAACTCAGGGGACAGAGAGAGTTTTCATGGGAAAGTACATAGCACCCAGAGGAGTTTATGGTCATGAGGGAAGCAGATGTGATGTGGAAAATAAGATCTCATGAAACGGTAGGCTTGCATTTGTTCTCAAGTCAGGACAGCCAGGGGTTGAGTGAAAGCCATTCCAGAGGAGGCTGTTTGCCACAGAGAGCTGCTGCCCTGCCTCTCGCCCAGCATCTGGCCACCAGGACGCCATTTCGCAGCCCCACGACTCCTCATAGCCTGGTGTTATCTCCACAGATCATCCTTCACCCAACTGTCCTCACCACCTCCCACCTCTTCCTCTGAGCCAGGGGTGGAGCCAAAACAGAGGCGCACCCTGCCTCCTTCCATGGAGGCTCTCCCTCCCCACCCAAACCGCCACCGGTGGGCATTGACTTTTAGAGACTCCGTTCATTTTCTAAGTTGCATTGGGAAAGTTTTAAAATATAGTAGAAGCCTGAAGAGGAAAATATAGGATGAGACTTTCTCCCTAGCCAATGAATTTTGTTGATTTCAGCCGCCTCTTTAGAGAAACTAGACATTATCCCCAACCTTTTTTTTTTTTAATATATATATTTTATTGGTTTTTCACAGAGAGGAAGAGAGAGGGATAGAGAGTTAGAAACATCAATGAGAGAGAATCATCGATCAGCTGCCTCTTGCACACTCCCTACTGGGGATGTGCCCACAACCAAGGTACATGCCCTTGCCCGGAATCGAACCCAGGACCTTTCAATCTGCAGGCCGATGCTCTATCCACTGAGCCGAACCGGTCCCGGCTATCCCCAACCTTTATCTTGCTTTGTGTTTTTGAGGTAATTGGTTGCCTCCAAGCTACCATGTCTGGTGAAGTTTTTATGTTTCTTTGATTCTATGACCCTGGTATGTTATAGAGGCAGCTGGTGTCAATTTGAGAGAGTAGTGAGTATCAGAAAAGTCTGAAGTAAAATACTTGCTCTGCTACTTTCCAGCTTGTGACCTTGAGCAAGTTAATATATATATGGTGATCTGTAGTAATTCATTAATCACTGAGTGTTTGTAGACACCCTGCTCTGATGCTAAACTCTGAATTTGTTTCTGTAGCAAGGATCATGAAAAATGTTAAAGAAAAAAGACAGTCTCAGGATATATGAGATTTTGATATTGTCGCATATACCAAAAATACTTGCTTTCCTCATGGTAAGAATAGTGAAAATAAGAACTCCAGAGTGTCTTAGTCCAGACAGATAACTAGTATAAGTTTCTAGGAGAAACTACTTCATGTTGATGCAGCTGGTAATTTCCTTCCTTTGTCCTCATTGTCTTTACTACCTTCCTTTCTCCTTGGCCTTTGTTTTATGGAGGAATGTCGTATAAGGATGCTCTTCATGTGTAATTAAAACAGACCCACAGGTGCTTTGCGCAATAACATCCTTTATTTACCTCTGCCCTTAAGGCACTAACAATCTCTTGTGTATGCTGTGGCCTTTCTCAGGCCTGTGACTTTATGATATAAATACACAGTGTTATTTAATTCAGTTCTGGACCTTTCAACTAAACACTTTAATCTTGTAAAATGTTTAATTACTGTTAGTAGAGACCATAAACACATAACAGTTGCTAAGAAGTTCCTGGCCAACTCTTATTTTTTGATGTACATCACAGCTGTCAAAACTTCCAGGGAGCGCTCCCTGGCCACTTAGATTTAGTTCATTGTTTCTGCTCTGAGAGCCCTAACTTCCTTATCGTGGGCAGTAAGGCAGTAATGTGTCTGTAAGTTTAATTCAGCCCTTGGGTCATACAGTCCTAGATTCAAATCTCAGCCTCACCTCTTAGTGGACTTTGGCAAGTTACTTAACCAAAATCCCTCTTTCCTCATCCATAAGCGGGGAATAATAAAACAGAGTTAAAGAAGGGCTTGCATTTCAGTGCCTGCACAGCGCCAAGTACATGGCCATCAATCAGTAAGTGTGAGCTGCTACCATCATCATCACCACCTCATTGTCATGACACTTTGTTTGTAATTGCTTGTTGAATGTGCTTGTGTTTCTCCATTGACCAGGGACTGTATCTTCTCTGTTTTCCTTTTATCCCCACCTCCAAACACAGTTTCAGACACATAATAGGAGTTTAACTTGACTATTGAATGGTTGAGACTAATTTTGGTAGCCCCCAGATAACAGCAGTGACTGCAAGGGTTCTTTAATGCCTCCTCCTTTAAGACACATAATGTTCACCTTTTATGCCCTCTAACACAATGAGATGAGGCCTAGTTCCTTCAGGAATTAGTTTACCAGCTCCTAGATCGAACTGGTGAGTTTATGCAAAGCCCACAGCATCTCAGCGCTGGAGGGGATTTCCTCAATCTCCCAACTCATCCCTTCCATTTCACCAAGTACATGCTAATACACGGGCTGTTCGGCGGGATTAGACATGCATGTGATTAGATGGCTACTGACATGAGAAAAGTTTAGAAGAAAATTGAGTTGGAGCAATACAGCTATTTTTAAAATTTCTTTTGTTTTCCTCTATCACCATCTTATTTGTGGAATTCACTTTTTATCCCTTAAGTACATATAAATAATAAATGCAACAATTAATAATAATTAGCCAGAGAATGTTACTTCTAAAGAAGAAAAAAAGCTGATATTCACTACAGATGGAAGGACTATCTACCTCATATTAAGAGTTCATTTAGGTAGTACATTGTAGTCCTGCTCACCGGTTTTTCAATTTTCAACACACAACATATTTCAAATGAATAATCAGGCATCTTCAAACTATGGCCCGCGGGCCACATGCGGCCCGCAGAGGAGTCTGATCCGGCCCGCCAGGTTTTTTGGGCAGTGAGCGCAGCCGAGGTGTTACAGTAGGAATTAGTAGTTCATATAGTCCGGCCTTCCAGCTCTCTGAGGGACCATGATCTGGCCCCCACTTTAAAAAGTTTGAGGACCCCTGTTTCAAATGAATAATGTGTGATTGCATTGGCCCAGATTCTAGGGCTTTTCATTTCATGGAGGCCAAAACGTTGCTATAAAAGAGTTGTATTTATACCTCCCCTGCAATGTAAGGCATAAGGCCAGATTCCAGCATGTTTTCCAAGGATTCGGGTTCATTTGCATCCATTACATTACCCAAATGCACCATGGGAGGGCAGCACACACCTGGCTGTATCAGAATCCTTATCTAAATTAGTCCAACATGTTCCTAAATTATCACTTAGAAAATTCTTTGGAAAAGATAAAAGGAGCATAAAGGAATTCATCCTTTAAGACTCTGAGTTTCTACAAAAGGGAACCATTGAGCTAATCAAGCTGCAAAATGGGAAAACAAAGAGTTAAAGAAAAACAAAAAGAGTGCCTCACAGCAGAGAAAACGGAAATATTTGCTATGTTTGAAGGACTTTTACTGAGTGTGTAATCTGAATATCAGATACTAAACAAGAATCAAATCTCATTCCTATTGATAATCAATAATTAATAAGTTAATCTCCAACAAAGACCGCCTTATTAAAGGGTCCCTTCAATAATGTTCTCCTGAATGAATTCCAACCAACCCTGCCTTCTATTGTGTTCTACTCTGCATCACAGACAGCTGTAGTGTGTTTTCAATATCTTATACAAAAGCATCAGCAACTTTTATGAATTTTGATAGTCTGGAGTTCTAGTCAGATTTTGTTATAATAGAGAATATACTGGCTTTAGAACAAGCAATACTTGGATACAGTTTTGGAATACAGATTTTAAAAAAATACATTCTCATTAATTCAAGGCTGCAAATTTAGAATTTATCTTTAAGTGTTATCTTCATAACATGGGGAAAGAGGCAGGCTAGGCAAACACATAATCTAAGCATTTAGCAAGAGGAAATTTTGCAAATAATCAAACTTCTAATTATAATTTGAATTTTAACCTTTTTGCCAAATCTTTTTGCAGAAATATAATCTATGTATTTCTAGCCAGCTTCCTTGGTGATTCTAGTGTGGTTGGCCTGGTACCAGTAAAGCATGATCAGTTAAAGCATGATTAACTAGCAATTTGTTATCCTAGCACAGTGGTCTGAAAACTCTTTAGTCAACAGAGCAGCAGACCGCGGCTCATGAGCCGCATGTGGCTCAAGAGCCGCGGTTTGCCGACCACTGACCTAGCATGAGTTATATATTATATACTTTTAAATAGCAAAAGTAAAACAAAAGTGGATTTCCCATTCAGATTGGTTTTCTCATCAGTCCCAGCTACTAACAACTTACACATCCTAAGATTTCTGCTAACCAATTATTTCTTGGGAAAATTACAAAAAATCTAATTTTAGAAAACTGTAAAGATTACTTTCTTCCCTGATATCCTCCTATTAGTCATGGAAAAGATTGCTTTTCTCCATGTACCTATGGGATGATACTATGTCCAGCTGTCCTGACAATAAAGTCAGTTATATTAAAGTATTCCATTTTGGAAATAGCAGATCTAAGTGCCAAAGCAAGTCACTACCGTCACGTGCAAGTTTAGAACCCGAAGATTTTTCTATTACATTAAAGGACCCTTTACTTTCAGATGTATCCAAGTACCAAATACGAATGGCCACAGGTGTCCTGATGTGCTTGAGAAATCTCATTACTAATTTCGTGTCACTAATACGGTATTTAAGAAAAAAGTCTTGTCTTTTCTATCGGCATGATTGGGGGGAATAGCTTAATCTAGATGTTTCTGGGTGAATACGCATTCCTCACTAAATCTCTCAGGCAGCTGCTTCGTTACTAACATGATGCTCTGTCGTCTCTTTGTATACATGTCTAATTTATCAGTTTCTTGTAGATTGTCAGCAGCCTGCTGCCTCCGTACCGCCACAGTGCTCACAACTAGCAGAGAGGCAAGACTGCCCGACTGTCAGGTAACTTCAGACGTCCTTTCTCTCCCCACCCAACTGCATGTCGGAGCCATCCACCCCATGCTCTCCTTTCACCACCATAACCGCCTACGCATCATTTCACTTGCTGCATCTTATTCCAAATAGGGGTGATGCGAATGCACATTGGAACCTGAAGTCCACGTGGACCTAATGGAAATCCAAGAGAAGCTAGCGTTTGCTTTCCTGGCCGCTGGCAGGACTAGCTATTTGCATTACCCCGACGTTCCATTATATTCCCACATAGAAAGCCTGGGGTTGTGAGGATGCTTGCCCTACTTTTTCTTTTGTTTGTCCCTTGTCCTTAGAATATATTACTCAGGCCCTGGTCAGTGTTGCTCAGTGGGTAGAGCATCGGCCTGCGGACTGAAGGGTCCCAGGTTCGATTCCCGGTGGGGGGCATGTATCTTGGTTGTGGACACATCCCCAGTGGGAGGTTTGCAGGAGGTGGCTGATGGATGTTTCTCTCTCATCGATGTTTCTAGCTCTCTATCCCTCTCCCTTCCTCTCTGTAAAAAAATCAATAAAATATATATATTTTAAAAGAATATATTCCTCAGGCAAACAAACAGGAAGGATATAAAGCATAGGTAACGTCTGATCTTAGACGGCGTTACAACCTTCTTCAGCACCCTCATTAAAGCTGACATGGGAAGGTGGAGAAAAACTTGTAGTAATCGGCATTTCCAAAAAAGGAATATTTGCAGTGACAGAGCCCTCCTTGTGAGATGAACTGAAGAAATTTAGAGGCAGGTCTCCGTACTCCCCAGACACTCAGCCAGAGAGGGCGCTGGCAGTGGCTGCTCCAGGGAAAGCGTTGCCTGTCCATCGAGAACTCTCGTCCCGGGTGAACGTCTACATCATAGAGCACCCCGTCAGGCCTCACCATCCTCCATGGTATTTCATCTCCAGTTATTTGGCTTCTGACGGTGCCAAACCTTTAGAGTCTGGCGTGGCCTTTCTATCTGCTTACTGTGCTCACTTCTACCAGGCAGGGCTTCTTTTGAGTAGGGCAGGCTCCCGTGTGCTTCCATGTGTGTCTGAGGAGTAGGTGTCTGTTAGCAGGTGGCGGTGGTCAGGGCTTAGCTGGAAAACGCGGAGGACAGAAAAGGGGGGGGTGTGTGTGTCACAAGTGTTGCCCAGAAACAGTGGCCCCAAAGCCCCAGTGTGCCTTGGTCTCTGAGGCAGTTGTGCAGCCTGCTAAGTGCCTGCTAAGTGGGACATTGAGTCAGCCCGAAAAGGGACATGATTAAAGAGACCCCACGCCTGGGTCTCCTGATTGCTACCTCAGCCTGCCTCCCCCACCACTTCCAGCAGCAGGGTTTTACGTCAGGTAAGTTCTGTACATGAACGTACAAATGCCGTTAGTCTACTGTAGGCAGCTTAGACTAATTTCAGTCACGTCAGGGAAATGCAGTTATAAATGTTCACACCCCTCTCAGCCGATTTTCCGTGGGGAGCGGTGAAGCATGTGGGCCCTACACCTGCAGTTCTTTTTTCACCGGCACCCCCTCCCAGGGCCGTGACCCGTGCTCAGCCAGAGAAGAGTGAAGGAGCTTTGAAGTCAGATTGCTTGGGTTTCGGTTCCATCTCTAGCACATGCCAGTTGTGCGTTCTTGGGAAGTTCCTTTCGCTGGCTGAGTTCCATCTCTCATAAAGGAAGGATGAGAAGGAGGCACAGGCCTGGCCCCGCAGTGTGCTCTTGGTATCTGACATTGCTGCGAACCGTGCTCACTGCCTAACCTTTCCTCAAGACACTAATTAGCTTGGGCAAGGAGTGGAGAAGCCAGTGGGGAATATTTTTAACTTCACTTTTATTTTATATTGCACCCCCCCCTTTTTTTTTGAGAACCAGTTTGACTAAATGATTACCTGCCCCAGTCCCATACCTTCTGAAATGACTGAATTTAGATGGCTTGCAACCTCCGCACAAATAAAAAAAAAGTTAATGAATTGCAAATGTTTCTGGTTTCTACCCACATGAATACAGCACGGTTCACTGTCCCTCCTTGTGGTCCACGCAGAGAAACGATAAAATGCGTTTAGACTCGAAAAGACTGTCCTTTTCTAAGTTGCTGGAATTACGACTGGCTTCCCTCCCACCTCTGCCCACTGCCAAATGGATCAAATGAAATGTCCTCGCTGCCCTTTTCACTTCTTTCCGACAGAAAACTTAACACTTTGAATTCTTATCGTACACAAATGTTCAATTCTTTATACTTATTAAACACTACAACCCCCCAATAAGGTAAACAGTTATTACACCCATTTGAAAATGAGGAGAACATGGTTTGGGGGAGATAAAATGACTTGTCCAGGGTCGCCCATCCTGAAAGCAACTGAGCCCAATGACTCTCCTAACCACCACCATGTACCGGGGCCCTGCCTGGAGGTGCTCCGACACCCCCGTCCCCCTTTAGCCGTGCTGGGAGAAGCAAAGTCAGAGAGCGCTTCAATCACCCGTGTTGACTCTTTATCCCTGAATTGAAAAGGTTCATTTGTTTAATAAAGAACAAAAGGAGCTAAGAATGATGAGTGATTTCAGGTCAGGTGTTCTACTTCTGTTTCTCACTTTAAAAATTGTTTTATACTTCCTACAGCTTGTACATATATTGGGGTTTTGAATAAAAACATTTTCTCATATTTAAAAATATAGAACTTTCCAAATGTCTTTTACAGGCTGATTTCATTGTAGAGTTAAATTACTAAAGTTGTTTATAGATAATAAAAACCATAATATGAAAGGATTCCCCAGTGTATTGCAGCGTTGAATGTAATATTTAAATACATAGAGATATTTGGTATTTGGTATTTTTCCCCAAGAACTTGCTTACTTGGGAAAAGAAACCTTTCTGAAGATATATCCATTTTTGGACTTAGTAATAGTCCCTAGATCTACTTGTTCACAACATGGTTTTACCTACATAAATTAAACTTGTAAATGGTAAAAATTGAACGAGTCAGCTCCTAAAGATATTTAGCAGTCAGAAGTGAAACTGAATTCTTTCCTATAGCTAATCATTTTGATTAGAACCTATCAAATACTTACATTTTAGAAATAGTTTCTTATTCTGTAAGCCAAAAATATGCTTCTGCCATATATATATATATATATATATATATATATATATATATATATATATATATATATATATATATATATGTGTGTGTGTGTGTGTGTGTGGTGTGATTGCATTCATGCAAATTTAGAATAGTAATACTATGATACAAAATATAATATCATACCATGCAAGCAATCTGAAATAATGGGGGAAATTTTTTTTAATTTTTTTCTAATTTTAAAATTATAGTTGATATTAAATATTCTGTTCTTTTCAGGTATATAGCATAGGTATATAGACATTTCTATAACTTACGAAGTAATATTTCCCCCTATAAGTCTAGTGCCCACCTGGCGCCATACATAGTTGTTACAATATTATTGTCTATATTCCCTGTGCTGCGCTTTCCATCCCTGTGACTATTTTGTAACTTCTTAATCCCTTCACCTTGAAAACATTTTTTAAATGATCATGAATGACATAATGTCAAGGTTGGGCCAAGTGGGCGGTACCTCATGTGTAAGCTGTTGCTACACACTTTAGCTGGCCAGGCAGAAATGCTTGTCTTCCTTTCTCTATTGAACTACACAGGGCCCTCAAACGTGTATCCCTTGTGTACTTGCCATTGGCTGGGTGACATGTCTGCTGCCCTGAAAAGAAACTCATTCTAAATCGTGCAGGTTTAACGGAAAGGAACTCTGCTGGGTCTGTGGGAAAGTCTGTCCGCTGTGGCGTTTCCCGGGCCATCTGACTGTCTGGGGAGGGGAGAGAGAGTCTGGCCACAAAATATTTCCCCAGTCCTCTTGGAACCAGGTCTCCCCTGTTTACCTACCACGTTTTTAAAATAGGAAAAATCATTTTTATCACTGCTGGTTCCAACTCTATAGTAGAGCATATCTCCTTTTCAACTAAATGGATGGCAGTTCAAAAACTTTGGGAACTAAGAGTGACCTCAAGCAGATGGGTATTTGGCATAATTTTGATTTTGTATCAAAATTCTGATATTTTGCCCTAACTGGTTTGGCTCAGTGGATAAAACATCGGCCTGCGAACTCAAAGATCCCAGGTTTGATTCCGGTCAAGGGAATGCACCTTGGTTGCAGGCACATCTCCAGTAGGGAGTGTGCAGGAGGCAGCTGATTGATGTTTCTCTCTCATTGATGTTTTTAACTCTCTCTCCCTCTCCATAAAAAAAATCTATATGTATATATTAAATTGGAGGTATATATGAAGGGTCATTTCAGCACCAAAGATTAAAATTGTTTTAATGATCATTTTCAACTGACTTCAATGATAACAGTAGCCCAAAAGTTATGTATAAACAAGTAAATAATAATAATAATAATGAACCTTGAATAGTTTTCTCAAACCTTGCTCCTGTCAGAAATGAATTATATGGTACTGAATTTCATAATATAAGGGGAGGGGAAGCAGAGTTATGGAAAAATGCTGTTCTCTTTCTTTTTAAAAATTGTTTATTTATTTTAAATCTTTATTGTTCATATTATTACAAATGTTCCTCATTTCCCCCCCCTCCATTACTCCTCTCCACCAGGTTCCCACCCCACCCTCTGCCCTTTCCCCACCCCCCATTGTCCTCATCCATAGGTGCACAGTTTATGTTCGGTCTCTTCCCACACCCCTCTCTCCGCTTTTCCCCGAGAATCGTCAGTTCACTCCCCTTCCATACCTCTGATTCTATTATATTCAACAGTTAATATTGTTCATCAGATTTTTTTTAATTCCCTTGGTTTTTAGATTCACTTGTTGATAGTTATGTATTTGTTGATCATAGTTTTTATCTTTATTTACTTTCTCTTTCGAAAGAACTCCCTTCAGCAATTCATATAATTCTGGTTTGGCGGTGATGAACTCCTTTAGGTTTTTTTTATTAGTGAAGCTCTTTATCTGGCCTTTGATTCTGAGTGATAGCTTTGCTGGGTAGATTATTTTTGGCTGTAGGTTCTTGCTGTTCATCACCTTGAATATTTCTTGCCATTCCCTTCTGGCCTGCATGGTTTCTGTTGAGAAATCAGCTGACAATCGTATGGGTGCTCCTTTATAGGTAACTACCTGCTGTTCTCTTGCTGCTTTTAATATTCTCTCTTTGTCTTTTGCTCTTGGAATTTTAATGATGATGTGTCTTGGTGTGGTCTTCTTTGGATTCCTTTTGTTTGGAGTTCTGTGTGCTTCCTGGACTTGTAAGTCTAATTCTTTCACCAGGTGGGGGAAGTTTTCTGTCACTATTTCTTTCAGTAGGTTTTCGATATCTTGCTTTCTCTCATCTTCTGCGACCCCCATAATTCTGATGTTGGTTCGCTTAAAGTTATCCCAGAGATTTCTTACATTATCTTCAACTTTCTGGATTCTCTTGCCTTCTTGCTTCTGCAGAGGAGTATCTTCTGGCTCTTTATATTCCAAATCTTTGACTTGATTCTTGCAATCTTCCATTCTGTTTTTAGGACTCTGTATAATATTTTTTATTTCAGACAATGTATTCTTTATTTCTTGTTGATCCCTTATCATTTCTTGTTGATTCCTTATTAATTTAATTCTAATTCATCTCTTTTCATATCCTCATAGGTCTTATGGACCTTTTCTAGGAAATTCTTGAAAAACCTTATAAGCGTAGATTTGAACTCTATATCCAGTCGCTTCTTTTCCTCCATTTTTTTTGTTTGTGATTTGTTTCCTTATCTAGGTATTTTCACAGCTTCCCTGAGTTGGTAGGGTGGCTTTGTGTGCTAAGGTGTCCTATTTGGTTCAGTGAGTCAGCCTCCCAGTTACTTGAGGTGGACAGTCTTGGTGTAGCCCTTTGTGGGCTGTGTGTGCAGTCTTGTTGTTAAGCCTTGCTTGTTGTTGGAATCACTGGGAAGTGTTGATCTCCAAGCCAATTGGCTATGAGGATCAGAAGTGTCTCAGCTAGGAGGGTTTCTGCATTTTGCTAGAATGGGGCAGAGTCTTGGGGTGGCACAGACAAGCTTTGTTGAATCTCACAAAATTGGTTGCAGGTGCACGCACCTCTTTGGTATAGGCGCAGACAAGCTTTAGATTCCTGTCTGTCACTCCCTTGGAGAGTCCCATTCACTAAGAACGAGAAAACTAGCCACTGAAAGGGCTTCTGTGCTCCACTTGAATGGGGCAGAGTCTCGGGTGGTGCAGACAAGCTTTATTCAGCCCCTCCTTTCGAGAGTCTGGTTTCTGAGTCCCGCAGTAATGGCTGCTGGCTTCACACACCTCCAAGAGATCTCTGCCCACTTCCTGACAGTCTGGCCTCTCCCTGTCTGGGACCGTCTATCAGCGCAATAGGGTGTTTCTGTTTTCCTCCTGAACAAGAAAGCCAGCCACGCATTAGCTGTCCACCCTCTCTGCGCACAGGGAAGGAGTAAGCCAGCAGCGAACTCTGCCCGCCCTCTCTGCACTCCGCAAGCAAGCCGGCAGCGAAGTCGGGTGGCCGCCTTTTTGTGCAAACGGTTCTCCGCACCTTCACAGTTCCTGAGGTTCAGCGCACCTTCTTTCTCCTTCCCAGATGGTAGAGCCTCTTCTCAGCCAGCCGTCCGGTACTTCAGGGTGATGTTTACCCTGTTTTTCAGTTCTAAATTCAAATTTGTTGTGGTAGGCTGCATTCTTGGTTTCTCTCTCTGATCTCTTTCAATAATACACATATCCCCACAGTGGGATTCCTTTCTCCCCATTGGATTTCAAAAGGTCTGAACCCAGATTCGATGTGTAGTTTTACCTTAGGAAATTCAGTAAGTATGCTTCCTTGTTCTTCAGGATTATTTCTGATGGTACTGATGAGCCTGAGCATGCCTGAGTTTATTTAAACTGGAGGCTCCTGGAGGTCTTGCGGAAGTCTGCGTGATACACTTAGCAAATAGAAAATGCTTTAAAACTCTCTGCAGTCTTATTTAAACTGCCAAGCTAAAGCAAATAGGGGGAGTCCTTGGAGCAAATTAGGAATCCAGCTGGCAAACTGATGATCCTATTGCATCTGAATCTACCATGGAACTGATTAGGATCCTCTCGTCTAAAGCCTTGGTCCCCGGGTGCTTGGTAGAAATGCAGGTTCTCAGGTCCCACCTGCAGATCCAGATTTTGCATTTCACCCAAGCTGCTGCCCCCCCCCCCCCCCCCCCCCCCCCATGACTGGAGTACGCATTCAAGTCTGAGATTAAAAAAAAACAACAACAAAAAAAAACACCAACCCAGAGACCTAGGGCCATGGTCGGCAAAACTGCGGCTCGCGAGCCACATGCGGCTCTTTGGCCCCTTGAGTGTGGCTCTTCCACAAAATACGACTGGCCTGGGCGAGTCTATTTTGAAGAAGTGGCGTTAGAAGAAGTTTAAGTTTAAAAGATTTGGCTCTCAAAAGAAATTTCAATCGTTGATATTTGGCTCTGTTGCCTAATGAGTTTGCCGACCCCTGAGTTAGGGGAACAAGACCGTGTGCGAAAATGGTGACAGAAGTGATCGCAAGGAAGCATTCACACGTTTCCCCTGACGCGTTTTCTTTTTTCCTGGTTTGTGAGCGGTTTTGAACCGCGGCGGCTGTCCTGGCATGCAAACCACCTCCCCTCAGCATTTCTGTCCATGTTTCTTCTCTCGATTCAGTGAATGACCTGTGCCTGCCTCACCAAGTGCAGATGCCAGTCTTGCTGACCAGCTTGTCTCTCATTTCCAGTCCTGACCTCGCTCTCCCGGACAACGAGCAGCCACATTCCAGCCCGAAGTGCACCCCTCTCCGCCTTCTCTCCACTCCCGGCCCCTCCTCTCCATCCCCCGCCGACGAGCATCTGGGGTGAAGGTTTTGTAGCCACACACAGGACACTGCCCAAGACCCAGCCGCTGTTGGCTCCTCGGTAGTTAGACGTTGTGCTGGGATCAGTAATCGTCACATCTGTGGAAGGTGAAGGACAGTTAAGAAGAGTAACAGACTCCCAAGTGATACAACGTATTACGGTTTCTCTAAGTCACAGATAAACTTCTGCAATGACAGGGCCACAGTTCAATGAAACAGACAAACAAGACACAGGACACACAGCTCAGCCGACTGGCTTTATCTCGATAGCATAAGAGAGATCTAAGACCATGTAAAATACACAGATTGTAAAATCATCTTTCCTCAAACGTCACGTTCAGCTGTAGAGGTTGATTCCACTGTTTGTTTTTTTCACCATTGGTATTTATTTTGTACTCTTACTTGCCACATGGGTTATGTTTATAAACATCATTTCTCTAAGAGGCGAACTTAATTCCTGTATTTTTAGAGACGTGTCATTGCTCCATGAAGTATGAGTTGCAATATGGTTTGAAATCTGGCATCGGCCGGACTGTGGACATTTTTCTTGCACAAAATGATAAATGAGGTGCATCGGAATGTTAACCGTAACTGTATTTTGCTGCTACGCTGATATTGTTTATGCACTTACTTTCTAATCAGCTCATTAACTGCTGGATTTTTTTTTTTAAATTTAACTAGAAGTCTTCACTGGACATTAAGTAAATCTAAGAAAGAGACTATGTGATGATTCATTGACTTATTCAACTTTTGACGGCATCTTTAATTTTTTAAAATTGCAGACGAGTAGATGCCCTGGTGCTGCTCCTTTGTGTGTGTATGTGTGTGTGATCATGTTAAAGAAGGCTGAAAAACACGAGGGGGGAAATGGTGTGTTTATTTAATGACCAGAGTTGTCTTTTTTTTTTCCTCCCAAATTCAGGGCCCTCCTATGAGTCTTTCCTGCTAAAAGGTATCAAGTACAAATGGGGAAAATATATACATAGATAGATGAAAGTTCGCCTTTGATTAATGAATTTACCCAGAAAGTGTTCAAATAGTGATTAAAATTGTTATGTGTTGTTGTTAGTTTTTTTCATAATGAATCTTCCTTGCCAAAAAAAAAAAAAAATAGATAATAAACCTTAGCTCATTGTCTACTTTTGACAAATACTCAGGTGCCTACAATCATATTATACATATTGAGATCATACATGTTCCTAGTTCACTTACACATTCTGCCGGGTAACTTACGACTTGATTTAAGGCTGTAGATGTTCATGGCAAGATTTAGTTTGCACATAACCTGATGCCCAAGGAAAACAGCGAATCGGGCTGAAAGGTCTAACACTCTTGGGCTCCTTAACCACCACGTGCTGCCCACACAATTGCTCCTCGCCCTGATTCCTGGTCTAGACAGGTAGCCTTAACTTATTTAAAATCATAACGGTGTGGCCTGCCCATGTAATGATGTCTGTAAACTTCTCTTTAAAACAAACACAATCCTCACTGTTCACACGGAAGATGGTTAACAATACAGGGCCCTAGTAATGAAGATCTCGTCAGAGCCACTCAGCCCGTTGAGTGGAAGTGGGTGGAACCTTAATGGAATGGTCCATTGAGGATGGCGGCCACTCGGTAAGTCACAAACCAGTGCAGGAGCGTTCATCAGTCATGCACCTGTGAGGCTGGGGTCACTATTACCAAAGCAACCAGGAGGTTTGTCGTTTCTTATATGAGTGCTATTTTCAACAGTGTCACTTAGTATGCAACTTGAAGTAGTCAGAGATCTTCACCATACATAGAGATTCAGGTTAAAGAAACAGAAAAAGGAACAAATCTTCGTCAAGTCTCAATCATGGCAGCCTCGCCTTTTTGTTTTTTGTTTGTTTGTTTTTTTTTTCTTCTCACCTGCAATGGCCTTGCTGTTCCCAAACACCTTCTTCTTTTTATTGGTGTTGTATCTGCCTTGTACCAGTATTAGTGAGACTGATTGTATGAGAGTTCAATTAAAGGTAGCTGCTCCTCACCATTGCTTTTTCTTTCTTTTCTTTTTGTTATTTCTTTTGCAAGTATTATGTGTGCGAACCTGAGAAGTGGTTTAGCTGCAAAGTTGACTTTTAATAAAAACTGTTTGTATCTGAGGGAAAATACACCATTTTAAAAGTACCTCAGAACCTCTTTCTATATCGCCTCATTGGGTTTGTTGCTGGTGCTGGGAGTTTCAGCCGTGGGCGTCATCTCTGTGTAACCATAGAGCAGCCATCCCACTGGCAAGCACAGTGTTGCACTGTTGCTCTCTTTCTCTGTATTTATGCCCCAGTGAAAGGCCGGGTCACAGACAACACTTTTATTTCTTCCAATAGGAATTTTATCAAGTCTATATGAATTTTTTTTTAGTTCCTTTTTACTCACAGAATGGGAAATGTTTATTTGGAAACATCAATTCTATAAAAATGTTCATTTTAGCAAAACTTTGCCAAGAAGGTAGAGAAACTTGGAAATAAATTTTTGTCACAAAATTAGGTCATAGTCCCTAAGCAGTCAGAGAGAACTCCATGTGTTTACACTATGATGTAACTTAGTATAGTCTGAAATCAGCCCCATCTATATTTATTTATAGGCACTTAAAATGAATAAATATGTGCAGCACTGATAAAAATCAGTATAGCTGTAATGATAAATGGAAATTGAAGAATTAGTGGGGGGGGGGGAATAAAACTCAGTAAAACCACTTCAAGAGAGATGTGGGGTGGGGGTTGGGGAGAGGAAGACTACAAAAAAAAAAAATACTGGCTAATTATTTCAAACATGGTGGGCAAAGATTAAAGGTAGCCAGCAAGTGTGGTTAGCAGAGTAACCAGGTGATTTTTGAAAAGTAAGCACAATTACCATACTGAAGAGGACAGTATGTGGAAATGCTTTCTTCAGAGGATTGTTCTTAGGTAAATGATAAAATAAAAAGCATACACGACCCTCGGATTAATATTCCCAATCATATCCTTTCCATCCACTTCTGTTTCAATAAGAGGAATTTGGATAACTTTGAGGGATCAAAGTTATTAAATAACTAAGAAAGGACCTATTCAGAAAGATTAAACTATAGCCTAAGGAAGAAGACGTAGACTATTGATCTGCAAGAAAATGTAACCAATGATAGATACCAGCTATTGACATTATTATTAAGACTAGAATAAGAAGAAAAAAAAAAGGCTTCAGTGTGAGGGATTTATAATAACTCTAGGAAAGAGATTCTTAACAGTGGGAAATTAATAATCAATATTGATGATTTGTTTTTACAAAATTAAATATTTATTGTCCAGTAAGGATTAATTTACATGGAAAGATACCTTATGATGATATACTAAGATTCTAGGATTTCATAATCCTATTAGTCTTTCATTTTAGATTTAGTAATAAAGTATTCTGGTTAGCCATAAAATATTTTATTCCTTGAAAGTAGGATAGCAATCTTGAGTTTCCAAAATATTTGGTAAAAAATAAAACAAGATTGTTGGTATTTTTTTCTTGCAGCTATATTTCATATCTTTAAAGTTATCCAGAATGTAGTAATTTTACTATAAAAGCCTCAATTGTCAGTCTAAAAAAAACAAACATCCTCAGGAATACTTTGGAAATAGAAGGTTTGCATTCCCTTAGGGGTGTAAATGCCTCTCAAATATTATCTTTCCTTAAAAGAATCTTCAATCTACAACATTTGCTTTTTCAGGCTTTGTTAAATATCCATGTACAGATAGTCCTTATGTCTCAAACAAGCATAAAATGTCGATCAAATAAACCATAAATGTGGACATTTCCTGATATTCTGCTTTAAATAAAATCCTCTGCAGTCTTAAATGGTAATTACGAAATGTAAAAACGAAAAATGAAATCTATTTTCTACTGTGATAAGAATGGTAAGTTTAATGTATAATTGTCCTGTTCAATCAGCCAAAAGACATAATCTGTCTATCAGAAAGGCACATCAGAGGAAACATGGATTTTTCCGGAAGTAACTGTGCTGGTTCAACCAAGGTTACCACAAATGCACTGATGTTGTAGATATAAAGCAGGACTAGGTTCAAAAGGAACTCTTAGGGAAAAGTTCACGATTTTAAATATTGCCCTATAACTTATTTGTTTATGAACCAGAGTCTTTTTTAAATAGTCCTTGTATTTAAGATTGCAAAATATGTTTCCAAATAATGGGAACATAATTCTTCAAAAAACTGTTGAACTGGTGTAGTGATAGGTGGTCTAATGAGTGCTGATACTGACAGAATTTTCACCTTAAAATCAATTTCTGTGGACATTCAAGACTGATCTAGCTCCTGAATGAATGAACTTCTCCATTGTCTGTAATAATGCCCCCAGATGAGTTGTGTCTGAAATTGAATTCAATTTATTTTAAATACCAGGTTAACTGCCATCGTTCCTGATGTATTTCATTTGTAACCGGATTCCATTACTTAACATCTGGAAGGTTTTGTCTAGACATCTCTTCTATTGTTTTTACTCAAAGTATAACTGAAAAAAAGATATTTAGTATTAAAATATGTTCCTCAATCAAGAATTTTCCAGAAATAATCTACTTTCGAAGAAGAGCAGCAATTAACTGCCTTTAATATAAGGGTATGAGGGCATAAAAGTATGCCATGTAAAATGTTTGCATGAGATATTTCCCACCATGTAAGCTTTCCCATATTCATAATATGAACAGTATAGAAGTCTTATTTTCTTGTGATTTCTCCATTAGGAATGTAAGGAGATTGTTACCTATATCTGGTCTCCTTTCCATATTGAAATGCATGGCTCTAATCAGTATATTTTTATTCCTTTCCTCTGGAGTTATTTAAATTTTGTACTATTTAAACTGAAACCTGGATAAACTGCTGAGCCTGGTTAATTCTGCGATTCGAGTTTACTTGCTGTGTAACATTGGTTGAGAGCACATTCTGATTTTAACTTTTTTTTTTTTCCTTTCAGAATTAGTCTCTGATCAATTGGTTCTCTTTTGAAAACATTGAGAAGAAAACGTGTGACTATTTTCCTTTTTTCAAAGTCTTTTTAAAACAAAGATCAGAAAACTATAGAGAGACATGCCATCATTTTGTTGACAAATCATTAGTCGATAATAATGGAGATAGAGAATGAATCATTTTGTTGTTTGGGTTCATAGTATGATTGTGCACCAAAACTTAGAGAAACTAAATGACTTTAACATTATTGCCACGGCATTTTTAAACTGGATGGTTTGACTATTAGAGTCAATTAATTCTTTGGAAATCTTTTATGACATTTTTATAATCTCTGTTTTTATTTGCATGATTATGTATATGGGATTTACCGTACATGATTCTGATACTGTGTTTCTTTCCAGCATTAACATTTGTGTAATGTGTGGCCAACCCCAATTTGTACACAGTATGTTTACTGTTGTAATTATTCTGCTATTTCCACCTTTAATTGCAATTTTGTTATTATGTCTTTTGGGGATAAATGATGTGAAGCATTTCCACATAATGAAAATATCACATAAAAACATGACTAAAAGGCTGACCTTTAAATTAATTGCTAATTATTTTTAAAAATCCAAATTTCAAAGGAAACTTGTTCTCAAAGTAAATATGTGCATATATTTTAAATTCAAAAAATTCCTTATTAATTTATCATTGCTTGTCTTTTTTTTCATTTTTTTTTTTAATTGTAGACAATCCTAAGTGAATGCCTCATGGGAGAATCCATATATGTGCTTGCATTTCTGTAATCTGATCATGCACTCAAATGGTTGGAAAAGATACTCCAGTGCTAAGAAAATAAATGAAGCCAATATATTAATTCTTATATCTTGGTTTATGTTACCAACTAAATATGGTGTAATGCATAACTCTTCCCAGTAAATAAACTGGTTATCTTTTGTTCATTTCACCTATCAGTTTGAGCAACTTCTCTTTAATTTGTACTTGCAAAAAAAGTTTATGAATTTCTACATGATTTATATATTCATTCAAACTGAGCACTTACTTGAACCAAAAACTGAGTGCTTTGCTTTGACATGTCTGCACATTCCTTATTAAGAAACATGTATCACTTTTGCCCATTTTCTCCACCTCTCATCTCTCCTCGTAATCTTTGCTAAAAGGTTATTTCGGCAAGAGGCTACACTTAGGTGAATTAGGCATGAAAGAAATACCTGTTCTGAAAAAGGGAAACATTTTAATGAAAGAAACATGATTTTAATGAAAGTAGAATGAAGATTGTATGCTTTATTTGGGGAGACAATTCTTCTTTGTTCTCTTACTACAGAGACCCAAAACTTTGAGAAGAATTCATTTACTAGCGCCTTCTTTGAAGAACAAATATGTATTGTAGCAAATCAGCTGCTGTTGAGAATCCTGCTCTTTGACTTGATTTTTTCGGGGAGACAGAAGAGGTGGGGAAGCAGACAGAATTGGATTTCTGTGAGGTTCTAATAAATTGAAACCTCTAATGCAATCCTCATTATAACCCACCATGGGCACTGCACCAATCCCAGCTAAAGTTGACCACCTGCCTATTGTATAAAATACTAGAAATAATAGCATAAACTTTCCTAAAAATCTCTCCATTTTCTCTTCTGAAAGATACTGTTTTTCTTTGAGGTTGGAACTATAAGTCTATGGGGCCCTTGATCTTCTCTTATGCAATAAAACTGATAGTGTGTTGCATTCAAAAGCTAAACTGGATCAGCCTCCAGGAGTGTCAAGAAAAATCTCTTCTCATCCCTACATTTTGCAGGAGACTTGGATAGCACTATATTGTTGTGAGAGCCATGTGGCGTGTTTCTGCAACCCCACTGTGGATAAGAAAGAGGCCAAAATTGATGGGAATTTATGGAAAGAATTTTCTTTGTTTTGGTTGTACATGCATTGACTAGCACATTGGAGGAACTCAATAAAGTGGGTTCTTTGCCATCTAGCTTTTCTTATAACACATCAGGAATCAAGTTTATAGAACCTAATGTTACCTACAATGACATCAGTAGGTACTAAATACCAACTAATTGAAGGAAATGGTCGTTAAATTAAGTGAATGATTATTCCTATGATTCTCTCTTAGTCAATCTGAAAACTAGATCTCTAACATTGTATTTGAAATTATTCAGAGTTCCTTCTTAAACATTTTATGAATCAACTATGACTTGGATATGTTAAGAAGAAACAGAATAATTTATCTACAACATAACTGTCAAGGAAGATAAATCTCACTGGCAAAAATATTGCCAGTGTCAAAAGCAAACACAATTTATAAAATAATTTAAATGTAGAAAGCAATGCAAAGATGAATCATAACTCTAGTGAGATCCTGTAAATAGTAAAAAATGTTGCAGCTGTCCACATAATTTGTGAGACTCATTGAAAATGAAAATATGGATCTCCTTGTTCAAAAATTATTAAAAATTTCAAGACCGTGGCAGTAAACTAAGCAGGGGGTCCTAAGCACAAGCCTCGTATGACCAGACAGGTCCGCATGCCCATGAAGCCAGCCTAGCCCCAGACTGTGCGGAAAGAATGATTCAATACCTCCCTCAACAATGAACTTCGCTATCCAGGATCTGGCTTTATTTTTAACAATGAATTTCCTGGTTTCTGTGCTTAGAAGAAAAAAATAATGGGTTTATGTTTTTAGGGGGAAAAAATGTCATTACTTCAAAGACTTAAGAAAGCTGAATCTTGCAATACTTCCATATTCCACTGCAGCATTTCAACTCAAAATTTCTAAAACCTCACATATGTATCAAGTTGTACAGAGATTATAAAAATCATTAAAACTTGAAAATATGATCAGTAAACATTTTAATTAGTGTATATTAAAGTAAACCTAATGTAGGAACACTACTGTTACCTTCAGAAGTTGACTTTCTTTGACATTTTAAATTATTAATAACATCCATCAAATGTCACAGGATGACTTACCTCACTTAAAGAACTATTATTAGGCCAAGATTAATGCCAGTCATATAAACTTCTTTCTCAAATAAAGGAGAAACAAGTTATTCACCACATTGAAATACATTGACACTGATAATATCAGCTCTCATTATAGGAAGCTACCCTATAAGTAAGAAAGGGAAAAAAATAAGAACATGCTTTTTTCTTGTTTTCCATAAGGTAACTGTGGAAACTTATAGAAATAGTTACCTGTCAAAGAGCAAAGCGTTGATGGGAGAGAATAGGGGGTGGGAGGGAAGAGGGAGTCAGATTTCTCAGTAGGTGATTATCTTTTTATAGTTTCTATTTCAACCCAGGAAATATAGTATCTATTAAAAAATAAGAATATAAAGAAATATTTCATAGTGAAGTCAGAAATAAAAATTAGCACGAATTCTAAAGAAATAACTTCTAAAGCAGGCTGTCAGCAGGAGGTTTGTTTGTTTGTTTTTTTTTTTAATAAAGCATGAAATTTTGTGCAAATTTTAGCCCTGGCACTTACCAGCTCTGAGATGCTAGAAAGGCACTTAACCTCTCCAACCTCAACTGTCTCATTTTTAAAATGAGGTAAAAATGCCTACTGACAAGGTTATTGCAAAGATTAAGTGAAATACATATGTAAGATCTTTCAAACATATGTTTAAAGCTATTTTTCAAACAGTGTTTAGCCTTTGGTAGCCAATAGTATTTCCAATAGCACAGTAGCTGCCACTATTAAAATCCTATATGATGAAATTCATTCATTCACTTATACATGCACTAATTCACAAATATTTATTGAGAACCTATTTTATGCCAGGTATTGCTCTAGCAGATTAAGTTGTGTCAGAAAACAACATGAAGGTGGTTTCATGCCTTTTTGAAGTTTATATCATGTAGCAATGAGGGAAAATATAAAAAATAGTAAAACAAATATGTAAACAGCAAAATATGAAACTTTTGAGGAAAAAGAAAAAAGTAGCAGGGGGAAAGAGATTGTGCTGGGAGAAAGTGAAACATAGTATTATTAAATGAGGTGGTCAGGTTGGATCTTATTTGAAAGATAGATAAAAATTATCCTGCTCACATCATAACTGCTTCAGTTTTTAAAATTATTAAATTATATATCTTACTCAAATTTTTAGAAGTTATTATCCATTTAAAAATATCAAACAGCAATTCACATTAAGCAATAGCGTTTTTAAAAACTAGTCTTATAAAATGTTCTAATTTGAAGTAACCATTTCAAAATATGCATATATTTTTTATTTCCTGTCGATGTTGTTTTAAAAATCCCAATATTTATATTAGAATTAGATATGCTTTCCTGGAGGTTTAGGGCGTGGGCATGCCCATTTATACTTCTCTAATAAAAATTCTAGTCAAATAATTTTATTCAACAATCTTATTTATAACTGTCAATTCTAATGAACTGGAATTGTATAAATAATTTTAAAAATAAATCATAATGTTTTTCAATACAGAGTGGGGCAAATATATGTTTACAGTTTGTATTGGAAATAATATAATAATAAATATTAATATACGAATAAACTGTTTCATGTACTTGCAACTATAATCCTACTTTTGCCCTACCCTGTACATAGTCAGAAGCTAAGCTATGTTTTCTTCTAGTCCTTAATTCAACTCTCCTCTTTCAATGATTCTTTCATCTAAATTTTCTAAACATTAGAGCTGTCTTTTAAAATATATACTCACAAACTTTCTTCTTAATACAAAGGTAAGTTTTGTATTAACTTGCTGCTGAATGTAACCATTTTTCTTAAGATGCATATAGATTCAGACTTCAAGCTTGGCTATTTCAGTAGGATTGGCAGAAGGTAATATATATTTAAAATTGCTTTAAAAATATTTTCATGAATAATTGTCCTAATCCTGGGCAACAATCTACTAAATATATACAATGTGAAAAGGGCCTCATCAAATCACATGCCTAGGTAAGCATGCATACTTTTTTTTTAAATATATTTTATTGATTTTTCACAGAGAGGAAGAGAGAGGGATAGAAAGCTAGAAACGTCGATGAGAGAGAATCATCGATCACCTGCATCCTGCACACCCCCCACTGGGAATGTGCCTGCAACCAAGGTACATGCCCTTGACCGGAATCGAACCCGGGACCTTTCAGTCCCCAAGCCGACGCTCTATCCACTGAGACAAACCGGTTTTGGCAGCATGCATACTTAATATAAACAAAGATGAAAACAAAATTGAATTGATGAAAATATCACCTATTACAAATCTAATTATCTCCTGTGAGAAGTTTTTTAATGTCACTTCTTTCTAGCAAACGCCAAAATTAAAGCTGGCTTGAATTCAGGTATAGTTATAATAATGTGATTTTAATTACACACATCAAACAGGTCAGAGATTGTCCTTTAAAAATGAGCTTTAGCTGAAACTGGTTTGGCTCAGTGGATAGACGTTGGCCTGCAGACTCAAGGGTTCCAGGTTTGATTCCGGTCAAGGGCATTTACCTTGGTTGCAGGCACATTCCCAGTGGGGGGTGTGCAGGATGCAGGTGATCGATGTTTCTGCCTCTCCCCTCCTTTTTGTAAAAAGTCAATAAAACATATATATATATTTTAAAAAGTGTGCTTAATCTGGAAAATGGCTGTACTTGGGACTGGACCATGGTAGCCCACCATTACCTGTAATATCTTTTGATTTCCATGTCATGATTAATGGGAAAAACAAGATTTTTCCAAAATACTTCTTAGAAACATGTTCTTATTGGATGTTAAATATTTTCAAAGTCCACCACTTTTGAATACATGGTGCACATTACTGTACTGTTTCTGTACATTTTGAAGGATATATGTGTGACATTTTAAGGATATTTTTTGTTTAGTAGATTTCATTAGAACTTTGTTTTGTTGGTTTTTAGAAACTTTTTTTTTTTTTTTTTTTTTTTTTTAGAACTTTGAGAGTGAAATCAAATCAGGGAAATGGA